GGCGGATTGGTTCGGCGTCTGTAGTGATTCAGACGTTGAGCCGATCTGTTGTGGTGAAGAAGGAGCTGAGCCAGAAAGCCAGGCTCTCGATTTACCGGTCGGTCTACGTCCCAATCCTCACCTATGGTCATGAGCTTTGGGTAATGACCAAAAGAACGAGATCGTGGATACAAGCGGCTGAAATGAGTTTCCTCCGTAGGGTGACTGGGCTCAGCCTTAGAGATAGGGTGAGGAGCTCGGACATTCGGGAGGGACTCGGAGTAGAACCACTGCTCCTCCGGATCGAAAGGAGTCAGTTGAGTTGGTTTGGGCATCTGGTCAAGATGCCTCCTGGACGCCTCCCTGGGGAGGTGTTTCGGGCATGTCCTGCTGGCAGGAGGCCCAGCCCGAACCGGATACATGGGCTCGTCCAACTGTGGACCCACCACCCGCAGGAGGAACATGAAGGGTCCGGTGCAATGCGAATCGGGTGGCAGACCAAGGCGGGAGCCTTGGCGGTCCAATCCCCGGACAAGAAAACTAGTTTTTGGGACATGGAACGTCACCTCGCTGGCGGGGAAGGAGCCGGAGCTTGTGGCAGAGGTTGAGCGGTACCGGCTAGATATAGTCGGACTCACCTCGACACATTGCATTGGCTCTGGAACCCGAGACCTGGAGAGGGGTTGGACACTCTACTTTGCTGGAGTTGCTCCGGGTGAGAGGCGGAGGGCTGGGGTTGGCTTTTTGTTAGCCCCGAGACTCTCTGCCTGTGTGTTGGGGTTTACCCCGGGGGACAAGAGGGTAGCTTCCTTGCGCCTTCGGGTCGGGGAACGGGTCCTGACTGTTGTTTGTGCTTATGGGTCAAATATCAGTTCAGAGTACCCACCCTTTTTGGAGTCCCTGGGACGAGTGCTAGATAGTGCTCCATCAGGGGACTCCATTGTCCTGCTGGGGGACTTCAATGCTCACGTGGGCAATGACAGCTTGACCTGGAGGGGTGTGATTGGGAGGAACGGCCCACCTAATCTGAACTCGAGCGGTGTTTTGTTATTGGACTTCTGTGCAAGCCGCAGTTTGGCCATAACGAACACCATGTTCGAACATAAGGATGCCCATCGGTACACTTGGTACCAGGGCAGCCTAGGTCACAGGTCGATGATAGATTTTGTAGTCGTATCATCTGACCTGCGGCCGTATGTTTTGGACACCCGAGTGAAGAGAGGGGCGGAGCTGTCAACTGATCACCACCTGGTGGTGAGTTGGATCAGATGGCAAGGGAACATGCCGCGTAGACCTGGCAGACCCAAACGCATAGTGAGGGTCTGCTGGGAAAGCCTGGCAGAAGAACCTGTCAAGACGGTCTTCAACTCCCACCTCCGGCAGAGCTTTGACCACGTAATAATAAGTGAACACAGTTAAATATACGTAATCCCATTACAAGTAGGGCTGGGCAGTACGGTTTAAGAATAAATTACATTCTGTATACGCTTCCTTAGAAATATTAAAAAAATAAGTGTTAAACTCTGCTTTCTGGTGCATTTAGACTGCAATTTTGGCCACTGTTTGTTTATTTTGTCCATCTGAATAATAACGTAGTTCCAGCTGTTGTTGTAAGTGAATTATTTCTTTTTTCATTCTGTCAGAAACAAACAGAATTTTCTGATTGTTGGTCAGCATTGTTGGCTGATGTAGTTTAAAATATTCTGATGAGAGTCAGATCAATTCAGACTGAATGTTCACAGCTTTAGTCTTGTATTAAATCTGTTTACACATCTCTACCCATAGGAATAAGATAATATATCCTACATTCATATTATTAAAATATATCCTACATTCATATTATTAAATAAAAATAAAACCCTACTGACACATAAACAGCTTTTTTATAATTAAAACGTCCACGTTGGCCGGTAATCACCTGGATCCGGCTAATGGGGAGTAAGTAAGTAAGTAAAAGTAAGTAAGTAAGTAAGTAAAAGTTTATTTATATAGCGCCTTTCACAGATATAAATCACAAAGCGCTGTACAACATGATAAAGATCAGGGCAAATACCTCTAACCAATAAAAACATCAGAAAAACAATAGCAGTGATAAAGTAGAAAATAAAATCATGAGTATAAACAAAGTGAAGGTGTGAACCCAAACAAAGCCATCATTCTGAAACATTTAGGGAGGGAACGCCTGGATGAAAAGGTGAGTTTTTAGATGATTTTTAAAGACCTCTACAGTGTTAGAGAGACGGAGATTTGAAGGTAGACTGTTCCAAAGTCTGGGTGCAATAGTCTGAAAGGCCCTGTCCCCTTTGGTTTTCAGTCTGGTTCGAGGAACAGCCAGGAGGTTTTCAGATGTGGATCTAAGGTTCCGAGAGGTGGTGTGTGGGGATAAAAGCTCAGATAGGTAGCTTGGAGCCTGGTTGTTAAGAGGACTAAAACTTTAAACTGTATTCTATATTCTACCGGGAGCCAGTGGAGGGACTGTAAAACTGGAGTGATGTGAGCTCGTCTGCTGGATTTGGTTAGGAGTCTGGCTGCTGCATTTTGGATGGCTTGGCGTGAGAGGGAGGTTTTACTGAGACCAGTAAAAAGAGCGTTACAGTAGTCTAAGCGTGATGACACAAAGGCATGGATGATTTTTTTCCAGATCTGCAGTAGAAACCAGTTTACAGACTTTTGAAATGTTTCTCAGTTGAAAGAAACAAGAGCAGGAAATGGTTTTGACGTGTGAGTCTAAACTTATAGCTGGATCAAAAATAACTCCTAGGTTTCTAAGGTTGGCCTTGGCTGATGGGCAAAAGGAGGCAATTTCCTGCTCAATTTTTGGCTGAAGTTCCGGGGGTGCAGTGATCAGGGTCTCTGTCTTGTTAGCATTGAGGACAAGAAAATTGCTGGACAGCCAGTTACTGATCTGGGTCAGGCAGAGTACAAGTGTGGCCAGCCTGTCCAACTGGTGTGGCATAAAGGACATATAGAGCTGAATATCATCAGCGTAGATGTGGTAGATGTCTGGGAAAGACTGAATGATGCCAGCTAGGGGAAGAATATAGAATGCGAATAGTAGAGGCCCTAGAACTGAACCTTGTGGGACCCCGCATGTTAGAGAGGCAGTGTCTGAGGAGAAGGTTTCGGACTTCACTGTGAATGTTCTGTTGGTGAGATAGGAAGAGAGCCAGTCTAGAGCAGAACCTGAAATCCCAGCCAGGGCCTTTAACCTGTTTAGTAGAATGTTGTGGTCTACAGTGTCAAAAGGAGCCTAAGTCTCCTCCCCTTCTGGCTGGCTCATGGGTCCCCGATCAAAAAAAAAAAAAAACAGAATGTTAATGAACTGGGCTATAAAAGTTATTTTCTTGTCTTTCTGGGCTTTGCCTTACGCCCTGAGTCACATCTGTCAGACTTTTCCAATCCTAGAGTTTCACCGTCTATCAGATTTTCTATCAGAAGCTAATGCAGGAGATAGCGGCAGGAGACTATGTTCATGTTCAGCCTGCATGAAACACTCAGTGACACGTTAGAATCAGAAATAATCATTTAATGTGTTTTTTCAGTGAAGTTGACCTACGGTATATATTGACCTACAACAGATTTGTTAGATTTCCAAAATGTGTCGCCCCCAATATTAAACTCGTTCCTACGCCCTTGCTTGAGCTAATAAATGGTAAATCTGAAAGCTCTATCGTATTGCAAAGTGTCTGTTCTATATCTAACCAGGACTCATCTAGTGGGTTATCTTGCAACCATCTTGGTATATATTGCAGCCTGTTGGCTAAGAAATAATAATAAAAATTGGGTAGATGCAGTCCTCCTCTGTCTTTGGTTTTCTGAAGCGTTTTTAAGCTAATTCGTGGAGGTTTATCCTGCCAAAGGAATTTGGTAATTGAGGAGTCCAGAGATTTAAACCAGTCAGCTGGTGGTTTGTTTGGGATCATTGAAAATAAGTAATTTATTCTGGGTAAGACCATCATTTTAATTGTAGCAACTCTCCCCATGAGTGATATTCGTAAGGATTTCCATCTTGCAAGATCATCTTCCACTTTCTTTAAAAGTGGGATGTAGTTTAGTTTGGTTAGATCTGCTATCTTGGGAGAGACATTAATTCCCAGGTATGTGATATTCCCTGACTCCAATTGTGTATTAAGCAAATTGACAAAAGAGAAATTAATTGGTAGAACTGTGGATTTTAACCAGTTTATAGAGTAATCTGAAACTTTTGAAAAAGAGTTTATCAGTTCTATTGAATGAGAGAGAGACGATTGAGAATTCCGGAGAAAGAGTAAAACATCATCTGCATAAAGACTTATCTTATGTTCTATTTTCTTACACTTTATCCCTTTAATACCTGTTGTTTGCCTAATTGCTGCCGCTAGTGGTTCGATAAAGATAGCAAACAGTGAGGGGGAGAGTGGGCATCCCTGCCTGGTCCCCCTCTGAAGACAGAAGCTAGCTGATATTTGGTCGTTCGTCCTGACACGTGCAGTTGGTGAACTGTATAATGTTTGTAGCATGTTTATAAAGAAGTTCCCAAAACCAAATTTATGTAAAGTTGCAAATAAGAACTTCCAGTTAACTCTATCAAAATCCTTTTCTGCATCTAAAGATAATTTACTAGTTTCTATGTTTCTACTGTAAGAGAAATCTATCAAATTAAGTAATCTACATGAGTTTGTGGATGACTGTCTACCCTTAATGAAACCAGTTTGGTCAGGGTGTATTATGAAGGGGGTTACCTTCTCTAATCTTTTTGCCAGGGCTTTACAAATTATTTTGAGATCAACATTAATAAGGGAAATTGGGCGATAGCTGGTAGGAAATGCAGGGTCTTTGCCTGGTTTGTCAGTGATGTCTGGACTTAAAAGCACCTCATTAGATTCATAGTTATTTGTTAAAGTAATGCATTACCATAAATAGTAATGTGTTTACCAACATTGGTTATGTATATTACTGGTTGCAAAAACACCCCTAGGTATTTTGTCTTTTCTTTTTACTGAATATTTTTCTTTTGTATATTTCTGCTTGGTTCAATGCAGTTTCAAGGAAGAGAGAAGAGACGGATGAGAAACCTCTGCTCCTACATTTCCACAACCATCCAATGAAAGACGGAGGTGTCCCAACCAGCACCTTGGCTGGGCAAATGACAGCAAAAGTTGGTGGAGGAGCAGAAACTAGCAAGAACCTAGATCTGGACCCTAATGAAAAGACATCCGATTCTTCAGACATTGAAGTTAGTGGAGAAGATGAAGATGATGTGAATGTAGACTTTGTGCGTTCAGACTCTGGGCCTGAAACTGGAAACGGAGACCATGGCTGTAATGAGAACAAGTCTTCGGAGTCAGATATTAAGACAGTCAACAAATCTTTTAGCTGCCCTGTGTGTGGTATACGGTTCCTCCACAAGTGGTCTCTTCAGGAACATGTGAGAGTGACAAGTCATTCAGCAGTAAAGTCTTCAGAGTGTTTGGTTAATACAAAATGTGTGAAAGAGAAGCAACATGGAGACTCATGCAGAAAAGTCCAGAAACAACCAAAATCATTTAGTTGTGATGACTGTGGGAAAAGATTTAGCCAAACGTCCTGTTTAACCCATCATATGAAAGGCCACACCGGAGAAAAGCCTATTGCATGTGAGCTCTGTGGGAAAAGATTTAGCCATAAAAATACTTTAAACACACACATGAGAGTCCACACAGGAGAGAAGCCTTTTGCCTGTGAGCTCTGTGGACAAAGATTTAGCCATAAAAATAATTTAAACACACACACGAGAGTCCACACAGGAGAGAAGCCTTTTGCCTGTGAGCTCTGTGGATACAGATGTACACAAAAGGCAAGTTTAAACACACACATGAAAGTCCACACAGGAGAGAAGCCATTTGCCTGTGAGCTCTGTGGACAAAGATTTAGCCATAAAAATAATTTAAACACACACATGAAAGTCCACACAGGAGAGAAGCCTTTTTCCTGTGAGCTCTGTGGACAAAGATTTAGCCATAAAAATAATTTAAACACACACATGAAAGTCCACACAGGAGAGAAGCCTTTTACCTGTGAGCTCTGTGGACAAAGATTTAGCCATAAAAATACTTTAAATACACATATGAGAGTCCACACAGGAGAGAAGCCTTTTGCCTGTGAGCTCTGTGGATACAGTTGTACCCAAAAGGCAAGTTTAAACGATCACATGAAAGTCCACACAGGAGAGAAGCCTTTTGCATGTGAGTTCTGTAGATACAGCTGTACCAAAAAGTCACATTTAAACACACACATGAGAGTCCACACAGGAGAGAAGCCTTTTGCCTGTGAGCTCTGTGGACAAAGATTTAGCCATAAAAATAGTTTAAACAGACACATGAGAGTCCACACAGGAGAGAAGTCTTTGCCTGTGAGCTGTGTGGACAAAGATTTTTGCTGAAAGACAAATTTAAAGAGACATTCGAGCATCCACACAAAACTCGAGGGATTTATTTAACAACAATACTTCCAAACGTACTATTTAGTATTTTTACAACTTTAATGTCAGTCTTGTACCTCTGCTCAACTATCGTTGATCAAATCCTTACTCGGCTCTTGAGCCGCCTCTTCTTTTGATTTTCATTTTCAAATCTCCTTTGTTTTTTAAACTCAGACCGTAACCAAACATTTGAGATGATCATTCATGAATTCTGAATACAAAAAAATATTACCTAAAGATTAAGAAAAAACTTTTATACCCTCCTGTATTTAAGAAACAGACAACAGGCACATGATAGTTGTAGTACATAACCCACTGCAATTTAGAGCTGTTAGAAACCGTTGACGTCTGCTTTAAACAATTTATCTGTATATAAAATAATAGCATACAATGTTGTAATAACTGCAGCTTAAAAAGAATGTGTCTTTATTCATTTGGAGACCCTAAGAAGAAATCCATCTTAAAGGCTGTGGAGAGACAGCTGGGACTGTTGTCAAGAAGTCATAAATTACAAGCGGCTCTGTGGAGACTCCATTCTCCTACAATAGCATTTTGCTATTCTAAGCAGGCTTAGGAATGTGCCTGTACCAGAGTTTTTAGGGATGCTGTTGTAGAGTTATAAGCAGTGGACAGATGCCGGAAAGACGGAACCACTTTTGTGCTGCATGGTTCTCCACCGGTGTACCGATGCTTGTATTAACATGTACTAGATTGTAATAAACCGGTTATCTTTTTAACTCAAACTTTGTCATGATTGAGTCACTCCAAGAAACAGGACAGCTCAGCATGAAAATTAACCACATTCCCTTTATTTCTGATGACACAACTAAGTACAGCTGGTGGACAATTAAACACAGACACGTAGCACTTCTGCATGCATTCTGTATTCAGTGTGAATGAGGCTTCACGCCCTCTCTCAGTAGCGCAGCATCGTGCGGTTGTCCTGTTCTGATTTTTTCATGTAGTTGTGGCTTAGGCATTTTTTGCCATTATCACTGATAAAAGCTGTGGGATTATTCTTTTGTGAATTAATTAGGCAATACAGATCACAGTCCAATGTTTTTGTTGTGTTTTGATTTTGAAGTAAGGTTCAGCAAATGCTGTCGAATCACTGATAGCCATCATCTGGGAAATGAAATGTGAACTGTTTCCAAGTACCGCTATAATGTGCTTGCATACCACTAGGCAGAAGAAACAAATATTTGTATATAGCATCTCTCAAGATAAGCTCACAAGGTGCTTTATAAGAACGACAAAACTAAAAAAAGACAAACAAAAACCATAATAAAAATACAAAAAAAGGGACATTTTTAGACTAATAATGAATCCTGAAAAAGACAGACCTGACAGAGCCAGTAGTGTGAAAAAAAGCTACTGAGGAAGAATAATGAACAGTGTGTGTTTAGATGGTAAATGACAGAGTTCAGAGCGGTTCTGGTTCAGTCCGCTGTTGGATCATCAACACTAGGCAGGAGACATGATCGTCTTTCATACAGAATGCCTCATCTCTTCATCTGTCTAGGGCTGTTATGATGGTTTAAGTTTTGAATCATTTGAACATTAAAGGTTCTCTGCAGACCTGTTGGTGTCCTCCATCATTCAGGTGTTATGAGTGTGTTCTGTTCATCTGTTCCAGAATGATTTGTAGTCGGTCAGATGATTTCCTCATCAGGCTGCAGCTTTCACTTCATTTCTTGTTGATTCTTGATCTTCAGTCTCTCCCTGTTCAGATCAGAACCCATCAAATGTCAAGTCAATCACATTTTATTTATATAGCGCCTTCCACCAACCTTGCGGGGGCCCAAGGTGCTGAACACAACATAGAATAAAATCACAAAAGAGCAATAAGGATAATAAAAGCAACATTAAAACAAAGAGATAAAAAGGTCATAACAAGCAATTAAGATAAAAACCCATCACAGAAAACCAGACGATAAAACGAGTCTTCTCTCAAAAACCTGCAGCGATGGTGGCAGCTCATTCCAGAGAGAGACAGATGTGCATTTCTCTGTAAGTGGGTCATTCTGAACATCAGAGCCTGATTTCTTCTATGGTAGATTATGTTAGATGTTTGTAGCAATTAAAACATATTAATGTAATGGAATGAAATGACTGTTTTCCACCAAAAGTCATTTTCCCCCTCTCCTCTGACACTGAACTAATCTGCATGAGATATGGCCTCAAGGTCTCATGCATTTGCTTCTAAACTGCTTCTTTCCAGCTCAAGAGAAGAATGAAGAAAGGACTCTCTCCTTTTAATAAATCAAAGAACTCTATTTTAATAAAGCTAATCAAAGTGTTAGTCAATAATAACATGTGACCAATCTGTGAAATCAAAATATTAATTACTGTGACGACCCTCGCCCCGTCCTCTCATCCCAGCCTGAGCCTTTTGTCCTCGCTGCAAAGGATCCAGCACCAGGGACAGCGCCAGGAGTGGCTTGCTCACACTCTCCAGCGCCCTTTCAGGACCTCGGAGAGAGGCACGCCGGCAAAGACAGCAGCTGATCTTCATCAGCTATCATGCGGCCAACAGGCTTAAAAGGAGGAACGCAGCAGACAGTCGGGGAGATCCTGGATTAGCCGGAGATTCTCCCTAGCTCACGGACACGTTTTGCTGCCGTTACCACTCGGGTTTAAGGTTGTTTTACACCGTTAACGTTTGGGTTTAAGGTTGCTGCTGGAGATCCAGGAATAGCCTGCGATTCTCCCTCGCTCTTTGCTCATTTGTTTAAGGTTTTCTACTAAGGATCTAGGATTAGACTGGGTTCCTTCTGAGCGTGTTTCACACTCCTTGCTAATGGTGTTAAACATAGTTAGAAATTTATCTAGTCTGCCCGGTAATTAATAAATAGGCTGTGCGCCCCATTTTTGTTTTTTCGTTGTGCTTAAGAGTGTGCTAAGTACCCTGGGACTCTTTCATTTTGGTGGTTCCACTCCCTGAGTTTTGGCTCTTCCCAGGTGAGCTCTATAATATCTAATTATGTTTTCTTTAAAGGAGTTTCTGTGTGCACCGTCGCGGGAAGCGCTCGAGGCCTGCCGCAAGAGCAATCTGGTGGAGGTGGCTGAGCACCTTGATCTCCGTGGCACCCGCACAATGGCGAAACAGGATCTAAAAGAGACAGTTATTGCTGCCTTGGAAAACCTGAACTTGCTGCCTGCTAAAGGGACCGGAGTTCTTCCTGTCCTTTCCCCGTGTGCGGATGACGCCGCAGGACATGAGAACGGAGCAGGACCATCCACGGCGGCTCCCGAGGAAACGGCTCCCGGCTACCAGACCCCGCCGGCTCACAGTAAGACCCCTTCTTCACCACTAACTTTGCCCGAGTCTGATCCTGTCTCACCAGCTTCTACTCCGAGTTCGCTGGAGCGCTTTAACCTTCGTCTAAAAGTCCGATTGGCTCGGCTAAAGTATGAGGCCGAGGAGAAGGAGAAGCGCCGCCAGATGGAGATGGAGCTGGAGATCCACAGAATGGATCTGGAGGCGGACACACAAATCAAGCTAAAAAGACTTGAGCTGGAAGCCCAGGCTTGGAGACAAACAGAGATCTCCAAAAGAAATGAACCACATGTGGAGACACACAAGGACGTGAAAGAACCCGAAACGACGAGAGCAGAAACTACCCCTGGAATAAGACAGAGAATGGACATAAGTACATGCATTGTGCTGGTGCCACCTTTTCGGGAGTTTGAGGTGGACAGCTACTTCCAGATATTTGAGCGCATTGCTGCAGCTCTTGAGTGGCCTCGTGACGTGTGGGCGTTGATCCTCCAGTGCAAACTCACCGGAAAAGCCCAGGAGGTAATGTCTTCTTTGTCCCTTTCTGACAGTTTAGATTACGAATGTGTGAAAAGTGCAGTGTTAACTGCTTATGAACTGGTCCCAGAAGCTTACAGACAAAGATTCCGAGCATTAACAAATAAACAGCCACATCAGACGTTTGTCGAGTTCGCCAGAGAAAAGCTTTTATTATTCGAAAAATGGGTTGCAGCATCAAAAGTGTCTTCTTTTAATGAGCTGAAGGAATTAATTCTGTTAGAGGAGTTCAAGAGATGTTTACCGGAACACACCATTTTATACTTGAATGAACAAAAGGTAGCGACTTTGTCTTCTGCAGCTTTGTTGGCGGATGAATATTCATTAACGCACCGCGTTAGCGGTGACCTGCCACCCAGAGATGCCAGGCGGCCTCCTATAATGAGGCCAGCTCATCCCGGTTCTGCAAACATGAATCAGCCGAGATGTGTATACTGTCATCGGTCTGGTCACGTGATAAAAGACTGTTACAAATTAAAAAGGAAAAACGAACAGAAAAACTCCCCCTCGCGTGAGGTCGGTTTTATAACAGAAAACAAGCAGTTCGTGACAGAAATGAATGACTGTTTTCAGCCCTTTTTGTCCAAAGGTGTGGTTCAGCTAAGTGAATCGAGTCCTGACCAAGCTCCAGTTATCATCCTACGTGATACTGGGGCATCACAAATGCTCATATCTAGCGATGTCATGACTTTTAACGAGAGCAGTGCAACGGGCGTGTCAGTTCTGCTAACCGGAATAAATGGTGAGCCGATTTCTCGGCCTTTACATCAAATTTTTCTTTCTTCTGATTTGGCCAGAGGTTATTTTGATGTGGCTGTTTGCCCCACTTTGCCTATCGCTGGCGTTACACTTCTGCTCGGAAACGATGCTGCTGGAGGAAATGTGGTCCCTCCATTCCAAGTTTTAAATAACCCAAGATGTTCCGTGTGAGAAAGAGCACACAGGAATCTACCCAGCATGTGTCATAACCCGTGCCCAGGCACGTAAACAGGAGGAGACTTTACAGTTATCCTCTCTCTTTGATGATGGACACAATAAAGAGGACAATCATGTCCACGACCACAATGTGGACATTACAGCCGACACCGAGGATGAAGGCGAATCGCTCACGTCGGGGTGTCTGCCTTTACCCCGGCTGACTTTAGGAGAAGAGCAACGTTGTGATGAGAGCTTGAATAAATGTTTTCAGGATATTAAGAATCCTGATGGTGAAAAGTCTGGTTATTTTCTACGGAATGACGTGCTAATGAGGTTTTGGAACAATTCTGCTGCCCAAGGAGCACCTTGGGGTACTGTTAATCAGGTTGTTTTACACCGTTACTGTTTGGGTTTAAGGTTGCTGCTGGAGATCCAGGACTAGCCTGCGATTCTCCCTCACTCTTTGACGCTCTTTGCTTATTTGTTTAAGGTTTTCTACTAAGGATCTAGGATTAGCCTGGGTTCCTTCTGAGCGTGTTTCACACGCCTTGCTAATGGTGAAGCCTTTTGTGGGATGTTTGCTATATGGTTTTGACTTAATTATCCTCTTTAGTAGGATCTAGCTGACTGAACGTCAGTTTTCTGATCTCGGTGGTTTTCTTTTATCCCCCATAGGACTTTTGAGCCGGGGATATTTATTGTTTAGGTGGTTGTCATCTTAGTTTGGCAGAAAGCCTTTTCGTAAGCAGTTAGTCTGCTTATGTTTTCCGTTTCCACTTTATTTTGCACCGTCATTGTTAAACCTTATTTTTACCGTTCAGACACCTTGTGTTAATAAATCCTTTTGTTTTTACTCTAACCTCCTCGTCCTTAATCCACTCACACACACCTACACCTATGTTCTTGTGTTAGTCCCCTCATCCTCCTAGACCTTCAGAGGGGGCGTAACAATTACTTTATTATAATCCTATAGAACAGGGGTCTGCAACCTTTCTGGTGATGAGTGCC